GCCAGGATATCATATTATATAGTAGGAGGTTACATAAAAATTTTGAATATTTTTCTCCACTGTAAACTATTTTTCCTTATTTTCTAAAGTTAATTGCACTAAAATTCACTTAAATATACATAAATACCCAAAACCAGTTTATACATTATGAAAACCACTTTTGATATTTTTCCCAAGATATTTATACTGTAAATGATGTTACAAAAATTTATGGTAATTTATTTTAACTGTTTAATAATATTTCTTTAATTAATGACTATTTAAAGAATAAAACAAGGAAAAATACAAATAACCACTGAAAAATATATTTTATATTTTTCCCAGCCTATTTATGTATAATAACAATTAAATAAAAAGTTTGGGTAATTTTGGAAACTGTTTACTATTTATTTCAATTTTTATTGAAATAAATGCTCAAAAATTATAAAATATAATTAAACAGCTTGGAAATCCATTTTTATAATTTTCCCAGCTTAGTGTTGTGTATTAACAGTTAAATAAAAAGTTTGAGAATTTTTATCCCTCGAATACTATTTTTCGTGAATTTATGTTGTTATTGAGACTTAAAATTTGGAAAATTAACCTTCCAAGGTTGTAATTAATCGCACGACTTGTAAAATTTCAATACATCAGAAAAAGTGTAACAAAATGATATAAATCCAATACTAAAACATAAATTGGCATTTCCCTATATGTAGAGTTTAGTATATTAGCATTAGATATCGACATGGAAACTCACTAGTGCGTGTGTTTGGTGTCGTAGGATCCCGGTAGTAAGACGTTGGTGCATCCCGAAGTACCGCTTGTGTCTACACAAAACATCGTGAGTATTCACGCACTCCCCTATTTTCGTTTTTATGTTTTGGGGTGGAAAAGCATGTCCAGAAAAACTATTGTTTGCATGTTGTACTTAAATTGAATTGTATCAAACATGATTGCTATTGTATTGCTATGTTTCTTTATGTATGTCTATGCAACACGGAACATGAGAACTTATCGTACAAGGCCCTTCCCTTATCTCTAACCATTAACTCTTTGAGCCAATGGTCGTTATGGATAGCGCTATTAGGAATTGACAACTCCTCACTCGCCCGAATCGCTGGAGTGCATGATACCATATTCATCTATGGAACGATAAGCATAGATCTCGATAGGGCTTCAGTCATAGGTTTGGTTGAGACTCATTGTTTGCTCATACACATACAAACTCGTTTCTCGTTATAGCAATAAACTTGTATTCATTAATAGCAATCAACTTGTTTATCATTGAAGCAATGTACTTGTATTTACGAAAAGCCTTATTGTACGCTCGATTTTATAAACTTGTGATACTCACCAACTATTTTCATAGTTGACGCTCGTTTTACATGCTTTTTCAGGAAATAATTAGTAAGTGGATGTAAAGATTCATCATCATAGAGCATGCTGCATCGTGTTGAAGCTATTATGAAGCTATATTTTGAACAATGTTATTTTGAAAAACTTGTATTTTGTTCTTTTGAAGCTATGGGTTGTAAACTTTTAAATACTGCTATGGTGATGTATCTTTATCTTTTGCAATGAAACCGTTATCGCTGTCATACCTTGCGTTTCCGCTTTAGCGGGGTGTGACAGTATATCCCAATTATTGTTTTATAAAAGTTGAATTTTGACCCTAATTTCGCTGGTGTTATAAATTAACGAAGTCAACATGAATGATGACTCTTTCATACAAAGCCATGGTGGCAGATTGTATGTGGTGAATATGACCGGCCAGGTGCTATGTGGATTACATGTATTTCCAAATGGATTAAAACCGTCAGCTGAAAGACCTAGGCGTACGTTACAAGGTTCACTCGAGAAGTTGAGGTATTTTTTATGAAAATCTTTCCAATGTTCCCCATCAACAGGATCAAGCATCACACCATCTTCTGAACGCCCGGTACTATGCCAAATCATATTTTTGGCAGTGTGCCTCAAACAATATAAGCGTTGTAGTCTAGGGGTCATAGAAAAGTACCGTAACACCTTATGAGGTACTTTCTTACCCTTGGTGTTTTTATCGATCCATCGACTCCCTTTACAAACGGGACAAAGTTGCAATGAATCGTATTCTTTCCAAAAGACACAACAATCGTTTTAGCACACATGTATCGACTCATACCCAGGCCAATAGACTTTAGTTTCTTTTTGGCTAGATAATGTGAAAGGGGAACCTTGTTGCCTTTGGGAAATGCTAATTGCAACAACTCAAGGAGTTGATCAAATGAACTATCAGTCAATTTGTTGTTCACCTTGATATGCATTTAGTTTGCTAGGAACTCAAGGAAAGAAAAGATGAAACCAGGATATAATTTAGTTTCCATTTCTTCCAACAACTTTGCAAACTCATCATCCACACCCATTGTATTCGAGGTTCCTTCATCAAGGTTGGTATCATTTTCTGTCGACACCTACATCACATCTTCGATTAAATCGGCCATTTCGTTGGTTGGCAAGATGACTAGAGGAATAAAATATTCACCATGGTAGATCCAAATTTTGTATGACTTACTGAAACCATTTATAAATATACGGCGTTCAACTGCAGTCGGGTACTTGAAGTAACGATTATCACATTTTTGACACACATATCTAATTTTACCATTGCTATGAAGGTGTGACTTGGACCTCTCGATAAAAGATTTAAGTCCTGCTTGGAACTCGGGATGGTTTCAATAAGGATTAGTAGTCCAGCTTTTATCAATAGACATGATGTTGCTGAAACATAATTTTAGATTTAGAGTTTAGTATACAGAATTAGCATCGCTTTTTTTTTTTTTCAATCCACATTTTTTACAATTAAAAGAATAATTTTTTTAATAACAATAATTATATTATGTTGTTGTGTTGTTATTTTTTACAGTCGAGATTAATATATATATATATATATATATATATATATATTATTTATAACATTATATAAATATGTTGCAAATAAAAAAATTTAAAAACTAAAAAAGACATGAAAATATAAATATGAAACTATAGAAATATAACATTATAAGTTAATTTGAAGATTATAAGTTAACTACGTAACTTATTGGTTAACATTATAAGAAAGTTTCTAGTATTTGTGTATAAGTTTTTAAACAATTTTATAACATTTTTTTGTGTTTTATTTTCCAATTATAAAAATATTTTATTTTTATTTTTTTTGAATTATAGCATCCTACTTATACCAAAACTACATACTTTTACATAATACATAAGAGCATGAAATTCACATACTTTTACATACATATTATTTTTTGTGCAGCTCTTATTTATCGTTAGAGATTAAAAAATATTTTTTTTTATAACATTATATAAATATGTTGGAAATAAAAAATTTAAAAACTTAAAAAGACATGAAAATATAAATATGAAACTATAGAAATATAATATTATAAGTTAATTTGAAGATTATAAGCTAACTATATAACTTATTGGTTAATATTATCAGAAAGTTTCTAGTATTTGTTTATAATTTTTGAAACAATTTTATAACATTTTTTTGTGTTTTTTTTTTTTTTTCCAATTATAACAATATTTTTTTCAATTATAGCATCCTACTTATACCAAAACTACATAGTTTTACATTAATACGCAAGTGTATGGAATTCACATGCTTTTACATACATATACCACATATGCACAAAATACAAATATATTCACATACACCCAAAATAACGTCCTACTTAAACCAAATACACATAATTTCACATATGTAGATAATAACATCCTACTTAAACCAAATGCAAAAATTTCACAATTATATACCACATTTACAACAAAAAGACATACATTCACATACACACAATAACATCCTACTTATAACAAATACATATAGTTTCACACACACAGACACACAGATATATATATATATATATATATATATATATATATATATATATATATATATGTATATATATATATAATAATTATAATAATAATAATAATAATAATAATAATAATAATAATAATAATAATAATAACATCATATATGTACTTCTACCAAATACTCATATACCACATACATCAAACAGACATACATTGGTATATATACACCAAATTCACCTAAAAATACCCTCACCGGTAAATCCAAAGATAATACCACCAAAAACACTGAAATTGAACAATTTATTGAAATTTAATTATCAAATTCAGCTTTTAATAATCATCAAATGTGCCTAAAGGCTAAACTACAAGTGGAAGTTATATAGAACAATCAAATTCATTTTTTTTTTTCTAATCCAAAGAGAGCATCACCAGAAACAAGAAATGGAGCAATTTATTGCGATTCAATCATCAAATGAAGCTACAAATCGAAATTAACATACAAATTGAAAAGGAAACAAGAAAATCAACTTACCTTTCTTCAAGAAATGGAGTTAGAAATCGGTCCCAAAAGCTTTAACCAACCCTTGATCCTTAATATGACACAATATGGGGAGCAATTTAGTTGGAACAACCAAATTGAAGAGGAACTTGGAAGAAGCTGCAAGAGGCGAGGGCAACCACCGAAAGCAAAATGGGAGAATGAAGAATTTGCGTGTGTTTTTTTTTTATCTACAAGAGCCTTTAGCGGCGATAGATAGGGTTTTACCCGCGACCAGTAACAATAGCGGCGACAATCTGGAGGGAAGGGTACAACGTCATTTTTTATCTAACTGTTAGCGGCGACAGTTTTAGCTTTTAACGGCGACAAATATGTCGCCGGTATTAGGTCAGTGCGGATAAGGGACCCAAACCGTTGGATTGGATATTTGATCGAACGACTTAGATGTAACGAAGGGGGAAAACACGGATTCGGGTGCTAACCCTTTAGTGGCGACACTATTACCGGCGACATGCACTTTTAGCGGTGACCATAGCAAGAGTCGCCGCTAAAAGTCCATGTCGCCGGTAATAGTGTCGTCGCTAAAGCGTGATATTCTTGTAGTGTTTCTTGTTTAGAAACAAAGAATAAAGTCCCTACATTTTTGAATCCTTAATATAAAATGAATAAAGAGCATGTGATGTTAATGCTATGCACAATTATCATAGCAATCCCATTGCTTCAAAGCGTTTCTGAACGGCCAAAATCGGTGCAAACATGGTTCAGGCAGGAGCTCCCACTCAAAAAACAAAAGGTCACAAACCTACACTTTTACTTTCACGATGCCCTGGGTGGGCAAGATCGCACTGTGTATCCAATATTCCAGTTAGACATCACCTCGACCAGTATCACTGGATTTGGTTTTGGTTTCATGTTTGACAACCCTATGACCGTTGGGCCGGATCCGTGGTTGATGAGGATTGGTAGGGGCCGAGGGATTACTGGTGCAACAGCGTTGGAAAAACCAGGGTTCCTCATGAACTTAAACTTTATCTTTACACAAGGGAGGTTCAATGGTAGCACCCTACAAACTCTTGGCACTAACCCTATCCAAAATCAGTTTCTTGAAATGTCTGTGTGTGGAAGGGATTGTAATTATTTGTTATTTTTCGTTGTATAATTATTGTTTGTATATGAAATAATGTAGTGTCGGTAGGATGTAACATAAAGTGTAAGACACTCCATAGTCTAAGGGTCTAAAATGTAAATGTCTTTGTCGTATTGTAATCATCCGATTGCAACAACAATTGTAACCGGCTCTTTCGAGCCTATAAATAGGGCTTTTGCCTACGTGGATACGCTTGCTGCAATAAATAAAAGTTTATATTAAAAGCATGTAGTTTTTAATGTTTAGATTAAAAGGATGTAGTTTTGATTAAAAGAATTATGTTTCAAAAGAATGTTTGTCTATTGGTACCATTTTTTAAATTTTTTGTTTTTTTGTCTTTATTATATTTTGTCTTTTATTGTTCTTTATTTTAATTTCAGTATTTAATTTATTCAATTTATTATTATTATTATTATTATTATTATTATTATTATTATTATTAAATAAATTTTATTAATTTAGCAATCTTAGTTATCATCATTCAACAACTTAGAAGGCAAACCGAAAACAAGTTATGCCGTTAAACATTTTTGTATGGTAAAACCAATTTTGTTTAAAGACTATATTCATAGATCTAGAAGGATATAACATTGTTATGTGTGATCCATTGTACTTTATTAAGAAGATAAATCGTGTTTGGCGTAAACAAACCAAACGTATTAAATAAAAATGGTATGGACATGTGTTGATTTTCTATGCATGATTTCTCTGCTGGGTGAACTTACATGTAGCAGCTTTGAAAGTAGAGTGTCCCGCTGTGAAACCCGCAACCCTCAAGCCCACGAAGGGGGGATAACCGTATAAGGTCCACACATGTGTGTTTCCCTTTAACCTACCCAAAAATCAAAACGTCAGTCAGTCTAAGGGTTGAACTTCTTTCTATCGGGTCAATCAAGAAATTCAGATGTGCCTCTTTCTTGGTGGAAACCCCGTCACAGTTAAATATGTCAACCAAAACAAACCCTAACCACATTGTGCCTGTATTTTAACCTTGAGAGTTCTTTACAATAAACTGCATGCTCTCCAAAAGAATCCAAACATGCGTTGTGGTATATAGAACATATCTTATGATTTAAGAATATTGGGATCATGAGTCGATATTGGAGGATATTACAATACTCCACAGGAGACATATGTTGGAGAAACCTATCTATGAGGATAACTGAAATAAAATCTGGAGCATGTGGTGCACGTAAACACTGGAAAATTGGTTGTTGTTGAGATGTAATGTCAAAATGCACTTCCATATCTTGGACAATTTTACTAAAAAGGGAACTCGTTAGTGAATTCTAGGATTAAGGGGGGTGGGGGTAGGGGCAGTGTCCTTAGTAGTAAAACTACTAAGGTCAGTGTCTGAAATCTTGTTATGAACAGAAGTGAAGGCTCAAGCATAACCAAAATCCATACCATATATGATGCTATCCCATAATATGTGGTCTTGAAATACACAAGATTGAGCCCTTGAGGCAACAAAAGTATATGAGGTAGCCTTTACTGTCGAGTATAAACTCAAACCACAATCTCCTCAGTCGCCCCATGCAACCCATTGTCAAAGAAAGGGCCACCACAAACCACAATGCCCTCAATCGTCACACGAAATCCATTGTCAAAGAACAACACTGCCTCCTTCACGTCAACCTGTTGCACATCCTTAACCTAAACAAACTTTTAGCAATACCCATACAAGACCGAAGTAAAAGAACCTCACTCTGTGGGTTAAAAAATTGTGAAAGAAGGCGCATCAAATTCATGACATTTTCAGCTCTCTTTATGGCTAAGCTGCTAATGAAACTAGCATCTCTACTAACAGATCCCCGAAGAAGCTTCACCCCCAATGTTGGCCTCCAGATGCCAACTGGGAATAGCCCCCTCCCAGGTTCATACCATCACACGCGGGCCCAAAGATCTTGCTTTTCTTGATATTTAACCAAAAGCCCAATTTTTGGCTAATCACCTTAATGATTTCCAACAATTTGGCCACCTCCTCCAAATCTCCAATAATTGTGTCGTTATCAAGGTACCATGCATGGTGAAGAAGCTTGTAATTGTCTCTAATATTATGCAAGAACGGGTGGAAAAAAAGAACAAAGAGAAGTTGTTGTAAGGGGTCTCCTTGCTGAACTCCAATAGTAGATCAAATATGTGTGTCCCCTAGCAGGGGCGCACCTTTTATGGGGCCAGCAGGGGTTGTGGCACCCCTGAATTTTGGGCTAGAAGTAGGATATATATGTTCCATTTTTGGAATTATAAGCCCAACAGTGTGAGTTTTGGGTTGTGGCCCTTCCTGATTAGTTGATCCAATGTTTGTGTTGCCAAGAAGCTGATCCAAGATTCCAAGAGAGAGACGATCGTCAATCAACTTCCTCCTTCCACCCCAATCTCCAAGGCCCCATCCTCAATCTTCGTTCAATCACAAGTCGACTCCGCCAAATCAAATCCGTTCATCGTCGATTGCCACTTTCCTGCACGTCGCGACGTGACAACATCGCCTGCTGGGTGCTGCGCCACTGCGGACTGCGGTGCTGCTACGATGCTACCTAGCACCTGCTGCTACGATGCTACCTGGCACCTGCTGCTGTTCTGCTCATCTGCTGCAATCCCAATTCCGTAATTCCCCATCCTCAGGTATGCTTTCAGCTTTGAGCAATTGATCTTTCAAGTTTCAATTCGGATGCTATTTAGCCTGTTGTTCAGTTCTTGACTGCTTTCCTGTTAGAATTTTAGGAATCAAACTAATTTTAAGAGCCTATTTTATGAACTGATATGAACTGATATGTCTAGAATGAGCTATTTTGTTGCTTTTCTTCTATATTTGATTGTTGTTGGAATTTTAGGAATCAACTAATTACACATTGCTTATTTTCTTATGAATTGTTTTTTGATTTTGATTTTTATAAATACAATCTTATGAAATATGAAAACCATTCATTCTTTCTTCAAAAGAAAGGTTGATAATGAAGAAATTCATGATAAAAATGAAGAGATTGAATGACACAAAGCTTCAACAAGTGAACCACAACCACAAGAACATGAAAATCAACAAGAGAATGATAGGAATGAAGCCACACAATCAAATCCTAATGAGGTGGTCCAAGCGGATCGATCCCGCTAAAAGAAAACAAATATTGGAATATCCAGTTAACTTAAGGGAAGAAGTAAGACGAGCTTATATGAGCTTAGGACCTTTCCAAATACGTCTTAAAGAATATCACGCTAAAGGTTCAAAGAAACATCCTCGTAGATTTCAATATTCTTGGTTGAACATTTTCCTTAATTGGTTAGAATATTCTCCGACAACACATGCATCCTATTGTTTAATTTTTTTTATATTTAACGATAAACCAAGTGTGTCCCATGGTTATGATGCATTTAATGTTAAAGGATTTGATAATTGGAAGAAAGTTAATGATGGGAAAAAGTGTGCATTCTTGAAGCACATTGGTTGTTCACAACATAAAAATGTTGTTGCATTCGCTGAAAATTTGATGAACCAAGAAGCACACATTGAAAATATCATAATGAAGAAAAATGAAGAGAAAATATTGAATAATCGTTTATGATTAAAAGCTTTGATTGACATAGTTCGTTGGTTGACATTCCAAGTGTGTGCTTTAAGAGGACATGATGAATATCCTAATTCCAAAAATCGTGGTAATTTTTTGCAACTACTAAAACTTCTAGCATCTTATAATGATGAAGTTGTAAATGTTATATTAGAGAAAGCTCCTTATAATTCAAAATATACTTCTAGAGAAATTCAAAAAGAAATTCTTAGTATTATTGCAAATAAAGTTAGAAAGCATATTCGTAGTGAAGTGGGTGATTCATATTTTTGTGTCATGGTTGATGAGTCACGGGATGAGTCTAAAAAAGAGCAAATTGCGTTAGTTTTGAGATTTGTTGATGCAGAATGGATCATACGGGAAAGGTTCTTGGATTTGGTTCATGCTAGGGATACCTTATCATTAACCCTAAGGACGAATATGTGGAGACAACTTTTGCACTATCAGTTTGACGTTAGTAAAATCTGTGGCCAAGGTTATGATGGTGCTAGTAATATGAGAGGGGAATGGAACAGATTACAGGAATTTGTTCTTAAGGATTGTACTTATGCATATTATGTTAATTGCTTTGCTCATAGATTACAACTAGCCTTGGTAGCTGCTTCAAGGGAAATTATTCCTGTACACCAGTTTTTGACAAACTTAATTTTTTTAATTAATGTAGTCTGTGCTTCCAGTAAGCGTCATGATGAGTTACAAAAGGCGAAGGCAACTGAGATTAAACAATTATTGGAACTAGGTGAAATCGAATCAGGTAAAGGATTGAATCAAGTTGGGGCATCAAGAAGAGCTGGTGATACATGTTGGGGTTCTTATTTTCGTTCTGTATGTAGTTTGCTTAATATGTTTGATTGTACTCGTCTTGTTCTCCAGGGAATAATTTATGATGCATCTGGTATTTATTCTCAACGCGGAGAGGTTGATGCCACTTACTGTTTCCTAAAATCATTTGAGTTTGTGTTTATTCTTCACTTGATAAATGAAATAATGGGGAAAACTAATGTACTTTCTCAAGTTCTACAAAAGAAATCTCAAGATATTCTTCATGCCATGGAGTTATATTCAACAACAAAGGAGAGTCTAAATGAATTCAGAAACAAGGGATGGAATCTTTACTTGCACAGGTAAAGTTTTTTTTGTGAAAAACATCAAATATATATGTTGGATATGAATGCTCCATATACTTCTACTCGATACCGGCCTCGAAAAACAGATAATCATGTTACTTTTCAACATTTTTATCGAGTGGATTTGTTTACAACCACATTGGACAAACAATTACATGAGCTAAATGGTAGATTCACTGATCAGGCGATGGAGCTATTAAGTCTTAGTTCTACTTTAGTTTCAAAAGAACACCCTAAAGTGATTAAAGTTGATCAAATTTGTCGTCTTATTGAGAAGTTTTATCCTGAAGATTTTACGGAGCAAGAGAGAATTCAATTAAGATATCAATTGGAGATTTTTAATATTGATATGAAAATTAATCCCAAGCTTAATGGTGTATGAACTATTGCTGACTTATGCAAGGGTCTTGTGGAAACTCAGAAACGTGAGACGTATTATTTGCTTGATAGAGTGGTGCGGTTAATCTTGACACTTCCCGTTTCTACCGCAACAACAGAAAGGGGAGTTTTAGCAATGAAAATATTCAAGAACCGTCTTCGCAATACAATATTGGATGACTTTCTTAAAAACAACTTGGTGGTTTGCATAGAAAGAGAAACTGCTGAAAACATTGATTCGAAGTCGGTAATTAATGAATTCAAAGACCTTAAAGGTCGTCAGGCTGAGTTGTAATTCTTTTTATAGGTATTTTTTATGTTTATTTGTAAAAAAAAATTGGTTTTTTTTTTGTATGTAAGAACGTTACTTTTAGTTTATAATACTTTCGGTAAATCCCCCCCCCCCCCCCCCCCCCCAAAAAAATAAATAAATAAATAAATAAATAAATAAAAAGAAAAATAAAATAAAAAAGTTGTTCAAGCTCCGCCCCTGTCTCCTAGATATAACCTTGTTGGTTGACCATATAAGAATTCTACCCATAAGGATATATAAGGGCACCTGAATCTGACTTCATGAAGTAATGTGGAACTGCCAACAAGGTTAAAGGGATTAGAGAAGTTCACGGTAAACATGGAAAGAGACCGGTCATCGTGGCGCTCATTCAACACCTTATTGATGCTGTGTAATACGGCCTTAGCATCACGTCACACCCTGAACCCAAAATGAAAATCATTGAGGTACTTGGCCATTTTTTACAAACACCTTTCAAAGCCAACATGGAAACCAAACATCTCCAAATAACGCCTACTAAAATAGTTCATATTCCCTTTTCTATTTTTAAGTTCATTGTAAGAGAAGTAGAGGCAAAAAATTCAACCGAACTTGAGGGGCATCTCCCCCTAGCTATAGATTAACCACAAATGTAATAGCACATACAGGGTATTTGGCTATATTTTAAACTTCTCCACAAAAATAATCCAAAATGTGTTGAGCTCTCAACCCATCTCTCCCACATGAGGTTTCTTTTGGGAATGATTCAATGCCTCTAAGGACATTTTCAATATCTAATGGGATTTCTACAAAACATATAATCTTATGTGTGTATGCAACCCTAAATAATTTTGATCTATGTTTTTCTCTAATTTAACACACAACTTAAATAACAAAATATAAACCCTAGAACACTAGTATATAGTCAAAATACACAATTAGGTTTAGAAGAATCATACCTTAATTGTTATAAAATCTAACAATGAAAACCTTGTGTTCTTGAAGCTTTGAGAGCAAGCTTCACAAATGTCATGCCTCTAATGGTTCACACCCAGCACTAGAAAAGGAAGGTAATTGAGAAGGGGGAGAGATGCTAAAATTTTTGGCCTGGGTTTTTCAAAGAAATAGTTGGCCAAAATTCTCAGGGTTACTCCCTATTCAGATTGCTATTAGGAAATCCTAGATAAGCCCTAATCCAAAATAATCTTAAACAGGACAATTATCCCCTTTCCTGTTTATCCACCAAAGACTATTTTAGAACACTTAGGCTATAAGAAAATTGTCCAAAACTATTGAGGGTTCTAGATTGCCTCTTCTCATAATATATTAATAAATCATTTAGTTGAATTTATTAATCAAATAATAAATCAAAACTCTCTCTCTCTCTCTCTCTCTCTCTCTCCAAATATTATCTTATCTAGTTGCTAGCCTTGAGGGAAACCCAAAAGGACTGTGCTACTATCAATTTAAGTATATATCAATTATAGTTACGGGCTTAGACACCTAATCCAACAGTCTCCCACTAGGACAAGTATAATAACTATAGTTATCAATATAACTTCAAAAGCTGATTATCAAATTATAGCTCTCAAAAGCCGTTGTCGAACTCTGACCTAGTCCGTTATGTGTCCTAAGATAAGTGATCAAACATTCCTCTGTTCTACAACATATTATACATACGTGAGACATGTGTTATAATCAATCTCATTGTCCAAGGTGTGTTTCCCGATTTGTAATTTATGATGACTGAAATCAGACTACCAATTGAAGACATCAATTTAGTCTTGGCTTGGCCAATCACTTTAGATGCATCATCTGTTGAAAAATGTTCTTATGTAACCTTGTATGTGACCATAACTGAAATAAGATGAACTGTTTTTATACAATCTAACAAATATTATCAGTTATTTCAGGTTGCATGAATGCGTGATAAAACGGAAAATACGAAAACACGCGAATGACGAAGACACATATGTGTGACTAAACATTTTCAACAATATATATATATATATATATATATATATATATATATATATATATGTATTATATACATATGTATGTATTATATATGTATATATGTATTATATAAATATGTATATGTGTTGAATAGTCTACAAGAAATGGTCAACAAAGTCAAGGAAATGAGAAGCCAAACCCTTCCCACGTTTTTTGCTCCTACTACTCTACATCAACTTGCATGACCAGCCATACACTTCAACTTACACTCAAGTACAAGTGAAGAAGATATTTGTCTCTCATATATATGTATATG